TTCTGGTATTTCATTTGATGCGATCGTTTGTTCATATTGTTTTCTAGTTTCTCGATCTACCTTTTTCAAAATGATGTTAAGCAGAAGTATGTCAGATAAATTATTACGATCAAAATTTAGAAGCTTCAAAGCTCTGATATTTTTCTTTAAAATATCTACCATGTTTCTAATATCTCCAGCTGATTCATTTGCAAGTTTTTCAATTTCTAAAATTTGATTTACGTCACAGTGAGGAGACGTTTATTCTCAAATCTTTTTTCTAATGCCTTTAAAAGTGACTCAAAAGAATCGTCAGCAGTTTCGAGACGTTTAACATCGCCCAGCAATGGCGCTTTCAAATAATGCAGTTTTTGAGAGTCATTTAAATCATTGTTTTTAGTTATAACGTTGTCAAATTGAGATTTAAAATTGGGCCATTCATCAAATTTACCGTGAAATACCGGTAGTGGTATTTCAGGTAATTTAATTTCTAGTTTTGTTTTCGAATCAGCCTGAGATATTTCATTTTCACAATTATTTATTGAAGGTTTAATCATCAAAGAGTTAAGAATATCTTTAATTCTTTCCTCCAAAGCTTCTAGTCTGTATACTGTTCCTTCTAAAGCAGTTTCTATTTCAGTTATCTCTGGGTCACTTATATCTTTTAGACCGTAATATTGATCATTCAATTCATCTACTTTTCGATATAATTGTGCAACACGCTTAAACTTCACTTCTAATTCAGTTGGATTCTGATCCTTCGACTGATCTATGTAAGTTTCTAATTTCGTTATGGTACCTCTGAAGAGAACGCTTCGATCTATTTAGTTTCTCCTTTTCCATCTCCGGCAATTAAAGATGACTAATGTTCGATACCAATTGATTGACTTCTATTCAGGTTCATTTGATAACAAATGAATAAAATAGCTATAAGACTGCATTTAAGATTTTATTATCATTGGTGCTACGCGTACGCTATTGCTATAAGATCAACAACTAATTTTCAACTGTTTGGGGTTACAAGAAACATGCTGAGACAAAGATGCCAAGTTGGCGCTATATTTCTGAGATATTGAACAATCTACTTAAAAAAAGTATTATTTAGTACTTTATGGATCTTCCTAAATAATTCTCAAATTATTTATAAGAGAAAGAAGCTTATTCTCAAGGTTATAGACATTAATTGTTAGTTACTTTTATGCATTTTTTTTAAACATTCAAACATTTTTTGATGAAAATAATAATTGACTGAAAATGGATCAAGCTTGTGTTTTCCAGTATTTTAAGTCTCGCAGTGGACTGATCGTTAAGACACGGTTCCCAGCAGATCACCGAAGTCAAGCATCACTGGCTGCGGTCAGTGTGCGGGTGGGTGACCACTTGGATCAGTCTGCGTAGGGACCGAGGGTGTGCGGTATTGATCCTCGTTAAACTGTGCTACCGTAAAGTGCTCGACTTCGCGCGCAGATCGTCGGGCTACCGAAACGGGGGTGCCATCCCCTCCGCAGAGGATCAAAATTGTGATGGCATGTCTTCGGATCATCTTCCGGGATGTTTCCCAGACCGTCGCCAATAGCCCATTGTGCAGCTCTCGTGCGACGTAAATTAACAACAACAACAACAGTATTTTAATGGAACTTTTTTTTTTAATTTATGCCTGGTAGTAAAAAAACTTTTTTTTAGTTGAATTACAAACATTTATTGTCGGATATAGGTTTTCGGATGAATTTCGAAATAATTAAGGAAAATAAGAGTATAAAAACAGAGAGTAGCCTGATTTTAATTACTGAGGTAACTAAGTTTCTATCAGTTGCTTAGTACTCAAATTCTAACGTTCCTTCGTATTTCTATGGTTCTCCATATAAAAAATACCCTTAATATGCATTTTTAAGAAGCGTTTTTAAAGAATGAAGTAAAATGGTATAGACATTATAAGTCTTAAATTAATACCAAGAAAATATAAAGAAAAAAAAATTCTATTAAACAAAAAAACTGAATTGCAACGAATCAGTAACTAGAATAAGACTGAAAGTTTGATTTCCGAAAAATAAACCCAGAGAGTTTGAAAAATTAGAAACACTACCAAGTTTTTGTTATAATCAAACTAGATTTGATGTTTTTTATTCCGCTTTTATCACTAGTGATTCGACAGATTTCAATAATTTGTTTCTTGTTTCTTTCTAACTTATTTTAATGTTTCTTATGTTTATGTTTTTCGACTTCATTTTTGAAAAGGAACTTAAGAACACATCTTTGGTTATTTCGAAGCACATGTGTGCAGTTATCAGTTAAGGAAATTAATTTTTGATTTCTGGGTATTTTTTTTAATATTAATATATGAAATTGCATAAGCTATTTATAAAGTAAAGTGAAAATCGGATCTGAAAATACAAAACCTCATTAAATATGATTAATTTTGTTTTACAAGAAAATTTCGAATGTAATTCAAAAGCCTCCATATAGTTAAGTACACAACAGAAAATTTTGGTGTATAGTTGTAACCATTTTTGGTGTAGTAAGCTAATGTAAGTTGTTGTCATTCCCAGGGAAGGATTGCTACGAAGTCTTTTTTTCTTTTTATAACGCCAGATGGTGTTCTTTTTAAATTTATATGCGTTTGTTTGCTTTTTGTGATTAAACCTTTACTTTCTGTCTGAATCTCGATCCACGGACTACAGTTGGCAGCACGGCTGTGGTTTTGAAAATTATGACGCAGTAAAAAGTTTCACCTAGTTTCGCTGTGACATACTTCGTTTGGATTCCAAAATGAATCGGGATCTGCCGAGTATCCCACTGCTGAACAATGACAACTTCTATCAATGGAGTATTAAAATCAAGGCTTTGCTGACACTTAAGAAAATTGCAAATGTGCTAACTTTGGATCAACGGGGCATGATCCAAATCGCAATTTTGGATCATGCCACGTTGATCCAAAATTGCGAGAACAATGAACCCTAAACAATGATGACGCAGTTGCATACATACAACTATCGCTTTCTGACGACCAAAGTCTTCAGTTCGCAAACGAAACTAACGCAGAAATTCTATAGGAAAAAATTCAAAGCACNAGTTGCGGGAACAATGGACATTAAACAATGATGACGCAGTTGCATACATACAACTATCGCTTTCTGATGACCAAAGTCTTCAGTTCGCAAACGAAACTAACGCAAAAATGCTATGGGAAAAAATTCAAAGCACATTTACTGGTAAAACAGAAGATCGAAAAATCGATGCAAGTAACGAAGTAAAAAATCTTCAAATGAAAGAAAAAGAAAATGTTTCAGACTATATTGCAAGATCACAAGGACTTCAAGCGAAATGCTCATCACTGGGATTGAAAATTTCTGAAAGAGAACTTGTTTATTATACTGTTAGAGGATTAAGAAGAAAATTTGCAAAAATTAAAAAAATCCTGAAAACCCAACGTGAAAAACAAATGGATGAAATTTTAGAAATACTGCAGGAAGAAGAAAACATCTTATCAAAATTAAAGAATGATATTCCTAGACGAACAGAAGCATTTGGAGTAAAATATAAATATGAAAATAGAAGCAGGAAGAAATGTTTCATCTGCTATAAAACGAATAAATTTGCTAAAGACTGCTATTTCCGAAACAAGAACGAGGGAAATCAAAACCAAACATCTCAAGAAAAAAGAACATTTACCAACTATAAATCGGATATGAACAAAACCAA